ACCCTTTCTGTGCTCGCGGCTTCCGTGCGACTGCTAAATGTGGACACGGCCTACATTCCAGTTCATTTTTAGATAACGCTTTAAACAGAGATTATCAACCGTGAAACAAAGTCTCATCAAACGCCTCGCGAGCTTTTTCTCCTGTTACCAGGCGCCATGTGCCCAATCCGAGTGATCCTTGACCATTAACCGTGGCCAAATCCTGTGATATCATGTTCAACGATGGCGTTATGTAAAATTAGAAATTATATTGTATGTATTTGAAATTGGATATATTTTTTTTTTTTTACTATGATATCTTTTTTAAAATATCATTTTCAAAATTCATAATTAACATTTTTATTTTTTTAATATATTTTAAGTATAACAATTATCTTTGTATTAGTGTTAGTAGAAATTCTTGTAGATTCGATATTAAAATAGTTTCAAATAATAATAAAAATAAAAAGAAAGTTTTTTGAGAGTTAGGCATTATTGATTCTCAAAAGCCAGTCACTATATTTCAATTATTGTACACTCTTATTGAATACTGTGTTTTGGATATTGTATACACTATATTAGATATTTTATTCCATACATTGTTTGCTTATTATAAACTAAAATTATCTTTTAAATTATGTTTGCTTACAAATTAGATTATATTTTATGTTAACATAAAGAAAATATAAAATAAATACATCATAAAAACTTGAGCACTTAATGTGTGCAATGATATAGGCAAATCTAAAATTAGTTCTAATTCTCATAGATTGTTTAAAAAATTATAAATATTAAATTTATCTTTGAATTAACCGTTTTTCTAATCTATAAATTAATCTATAAAAATAGTAAATAAAATTGTCTTATTTCTCAATTACATTATTTTAATAAATGATGTAAACTACGAAAATTTCTAAAAATTAATATCGAGAATTATAATTAATTGAATATTTATTTTGGAAAAAATATAAAAATTGTATATAGGTATGATAATATTGAAAATTGCATTGTTTATATTTACAGAATTTATTGAATATTCAATATTCATATATTAAACAAATTAAAAAAATATTAAAAAATATTCCTACAATGATGAAAACTAAAATTATCTGTACATTTACTTTCTATTCCTACAAATTCATATTGAAAATTCATATTGAAAATAATTCAATGAAATTTTTTTCTATTTGACAGAATTAAATATTTATAATAAAGTAATAAAATAAAATATTAAATAAAGTAATAAAAATTCATGAAACAATATCATCGAAAATTCTTCTCCAAAAATGGATATTAGAAATTGAA